TAATCCATCATTCTCACTACAGCCAGTGTAATCTACTAAAACCTAATTCTGATCGTGTCACTCTGTGACTTAAAATCTTTAAACAACTGGCTTGTGCCCATGGTGTTAAATTCATATTTTGCAACTTGGTTTACAGGAGTTTCTTTAATATGGTTTGCAATTTTTCTTTGCTTCTTCAATCATACCTATCGCTATATATCCCTTCACTTTTCTAATTTGTCTCTCTGTCTGTAATCTTCACAAGCAGCTTCCTGTACCTCTGGCCACTGGCTGTAGCTACTGATGTTATCTTTCTGAAATGCAAAACAAATCACTTCTTGGTTTAATATTCTCTGGTGAATTTTCATACCTAACATAATAAAGCCCAAATATTTTTTAAAAGTCACTTTCTGCTTGCTCAGTGCTATGGCCTTAACTACATTTTGTTGCTTTTGTCTGGAATATTACCCTCCGTTTCGTGGCTTTCTTTATCTAGTTTATTTTTAAGAGTTCAGACATAACATCCTCTCCCTTGCAGTGGGTCCCTATCATATACTTTCTAAGGTCCTTCATGTACTTATGAAATCCATTCATTTTTTATTCATTTATCAAAGAATTATCTACATGGAATTTGATAGACAAATTAAACAAAAGTATTTTGAATTATAAAAGCAGCACTTTCAAATGGTTAGATCTAACAGATCAAAGCCTTCACTTGCAGCCAGCTTTTATTATTGGAAAAGAGGCAGTGAGATACAAAACATGTAAGTAAAGTATATACTTTGTTAAATGGTGGTGTTTCAAGAAACAATAAACCAAGGAATAGACCCTTCTAGGGCAAGAAGAAAATCCTCATAGAGAGTAAGATATTTGGACAAGGATATAAAGCAGACGGAAGGATGAGCCGCAGAGTTATCTAGGGAGAAACTGAAAAGCCTTGATAGAGAATGTCTGTTTTGTTTAAGGAATGTCAAAGAGACTAGTATATGATTGAATTGGAGTTAGTGTGAAGCACAAATGTAAGAGATGAAGTTAGGGAACTAAAGGGGCCTGGATTTATGTGAGGATTTGGAGGACATTTTGAATAAGATGGGAAGCCAGTGGGGGAGAAATAAAAAAACAGAAGAGTGACATGAATTGATGCTTATTTTAACTGGAAAAATTTGGTTGCTTTGTAGAGAACAGCTTGAAAGGAGTAAAGGATGAAACATCAATAGGAAAGTTAGAATATTCATTCAGGCAAAAAATAGTGGTGGCTTGGACCAGAGCGGTAACAGTGGGATGGTGTGAAATGGCTGGATTCTGCATATGTTTTTAAAATGTGACCAAAAAGACTTGCTGGAATGTGGGGAGAAGAGGAAAAACAAAGATAGTGCTGAGGTGGGCCTGGATAACTAGATTGAAGGAGTATGGAATTAAAAGTAACTAAGATGGAAATGTGTTGGATGGAAGTGTGTGTGTGGGGGGGGAGGGAAAGGCAGTGGGGGGAGGAGGAGAGGGAGGGAGAGGGAGAGGGAGAGGGAGAGAGATTTAGGCGAGAGATGTTTGGTTTAAACATGATAAGTTGGAAAGACCTGTTAATATAGTCAAATGGAGGTGCAAAGTTGGGTTAATGAAATTGGAAATACAGAATTACTGAGCATCTCTTTGATGTCTAGACGACATTTACAACCATATTACAAGGTGGCTGAATGTAGGGAAGGATGTGAAGAGCTATGTGGGTTGAAATGTGGGACTCTCCAAAGTTAATAAGTGATGGGGATAAGAATAAGAAGGAATTAGCTAGGAGATTAGGAAGGAATGGTCAATGTGATTGAAGGAGCAGTAAGTGGAGCCAGGTGAAGAGGGTGTTTCAGGACAGGAAGATCAGCTGTGCAAATGGTCTTAATAGGTTGAGGAGGAAAAGTGTCCAGTTGGCTTTCGGGTTTGCATTGTGAGGTCAGTACTGACCTTGCTGATGGCAGGTGGTGCTGAATAATGCTGCTGTACGTTTAAGAGACACAGTAGAATTGGAGGAGGTAAACAGAAAATGCCCTACTTCCACCTATTGTCTGAAGCTCTAACTGCTCCCTTTCATTCTTTCTAGTGGACGATTACTTACATCTTCATCCTATTGTATAAAAATGTTTTCACAGTGCATGGCTAGAAACTGTGGTCAAGAAAGATTTATTTCAAAAGGCAGGAAAAAATACAGTGTGTATGTTTGCTGATGAGAACCTAGTATGGATGGACAGTTGGTGATGTGGGAAATAAAGGGGATAATTTTGGGAGTGAGATCTTTGAAAAGGCAACAGGAGTTAGAATATTGTGGGCTTAGCAATGTAGAGTGTTTGCAACCAGTGGGAAGGCAGAGTGCACTGTTACACTACTCACATTGTGTTTTTGTTGTTGATTCATTTGTTTGTTTTCCACATATTGCAAACCTCTTAAGAGCAGTAAGTATAAATGTCGTGTTCATTTTGTAGTAGGAATTTTATTGTTCTCTTTGTATTCCCTAGTACAATGCCTACCGCACGGCAGGCATGCAATGAAATGTTGAAATGAGCAAACACTGTCCTAAGCATGTGTGTGTTTTATGTTTTCACTTGAATTGGAATAATTCCATCACACTTGACAAGCGGACTGATATAATCATGTTTCTCCTGTCTGGGCCTACAGTATGTTTGACTAACGGGTACAGTTGATTGATAAGATGACTGTGCTTCCACTACAATCAATATTTCTTGGGTGCGAAATTGCTGACCCTAACTCGGTTCGTTTTGCAGTAGTCTTCACTATAGTCTTACGATGAATTGGCTGGTTCTTCACCTGAACTTTTTGAAAAGTATTCATTTTCTCTCAGCATTCATTTGCCATTTGTATTTTACCACCATACATGTGTGTCATTATCTATTGTCATTATCAGTTGTCACCATTTAACATACCAAGCAAAAGAGAGGCATACAAGCGTGACAATTACAAATCTATTGTTTTTTGTTTTAATAATGCTTTGTCCATATTTGGGTGAGAAAACACATCTCCTTGTGATAAATTAGAAATTCTTAGCCCTGATCCTGGTACAAAGCAGGTGCCAAATCAGTATATGTTGAATGAATGATGCACCCATGACCAAGTCCTGTCTCTGGTGGATGCCATCAGTGCACAGATTCAGTCCCCGTCACAGTCTGGTGTACCTAGTCCCTACCTTTGCTGTTTGTATCTAATAGCTCATACCAAACACTTTCTCCAAAGCACTCTTGTTCGATGACTTGTACCCATGTCACCCTCACACTTCAAATACCAGAAATGCTTACGTTTTTATATCCTGCTTTTGATACCCGGTAGCCAGTGATTGAGATGCAAGAGCATGGAGACCTAGTTCCCTTGCCTCAAGGTACTGCAGACTTGCTCATATCATTCAGGCTGTTTCTTTGTTTGGCTTAGTATCCCTTATTCTGCTCCTCACACTCCCTTGTTAGTTTCTCCTGAGAGCACAGCCTTATGGAATCATTTGAGTTCTCTAATGCTCTTTGAGAAATTTAAGGCATTGCTTGTTTACAAAAACAGCTTATTTCAGAGGTAGGTATTTTGCTGTTGCAGATCCTCTCTACTGGCAAGTTTTAAATTTATACCACAGTCAGCCAAAAATGTTGGTGACTACAACTAGCTCGACCTTTGATTGAGTTGCTGGCATGGAAGTAGCTTCATAATTTGCTAAATAATTATTATTGAATATAGTACATCCCTTATCATGATACAAGTCTTTTTAAACAAAGTTAGAAGCTATTTTCCCTTCACTGTCTATTCTTTTTGATTATACACATCTTTGTTTTCTTTCTGTAAGAATGAATTGTAGTTACTTGTACGGTATTTATGTTATGATTGAGTACGACTTTTGTCTATCTTCTTTCTGAATATAAATATCCTTTTTGGTTTACTTAGTAAACTATTTTATTTTTCTCATAACTTGTAAGGGACACAAACTCCCTTATCTGGAAAATGGAATTGGAAGTAATATATTTTAGAATTGAAAAAAACTTCAGCAACCAGATGGTGACCAACACCTTCATTTTGTAAATGAGAATTTTTAAATCCAAAGAGGTTAAGTAATTTGTTCAATATCTCTCAGCTTGGTTAGTGGCAGAGTAGGACTAAAATCTAACTCTCAAGCAACAGAGCTCTCTATTGCTCTTCAAAATGCATATTTCTTATTCAGAGAATTGATGTTAGGATTAGGGACCACATCTGTGAAAAATAGATTTAGTCTTTAGAAGGAAATGATGCTGATAGCTTTATGAAAGCTGATCTTGTTTTAACATTTTCCATGCAATTGTTAGTTTTGTTTAGTTTTATGTTTCTTGCTTTAGGCTTTCTGTTGACCAAGGACTAGATCTTTTTTGGATGCTTGCTTTCAAAATCAACGTTAAATATCCAGTTAGTGTTAGAAATATGAATGACTTAAGCTGGGTTTGAAGATAGGAACAGTTGCAGACAGCTTTCCAGAATGGTGATTGCTTATGTACATGAAAAGTTTCCTATTCCTGCTTGCTTATTGGGAGTAAGGACAGTGGATTTCAAAAATAAGAAGGAAGCATAAGTTGTGTATTTTTTCCCAGTGTTGTACTACCTCCAAACTTTGATAGGATGTGCCTTTAATAAACCATGAATTTTTCTCTCCTATTGAGACACTGCACCACTTCCCTTCAGCATAGTCAGTGACCCATTACACTAATCCCGCACACCTTCATATCTCCCACAAGCATGTGTCAGTGACTCCTTTGAATATTTATTCGATACAAAGTATATAAATCTTTTCTGTGTTGTCTTGTAAAGCAAGGGAATTGTGACTTGCCCAGTTTGATTACTTCAATTGTTTAATTTAGTTCTTTTCAGCTATAGTGCGTTTTGATATATGAGCAAAAATCCTATTTAACTTTTACAGTACTTATATTCAAAGTGCTTTGTGTAGATTCATATATTCAGGGAAGATAAATGTTTGAGTACCATCAGGCTAAAGTATCTTTCATATATATTTTAATTAGGTGCGATTATATGCAAGACCTGATGCTATCAGAAGAGGATCTGGGGACTATGCTCTTCATATTACAAAGAGATTAATAGAATTTTATGAAGACTACTTTAAAGTGCCCTATTCCTTGCCAAAACTAGGTAAGAATTTTTTGGTTATTTTATTGGAAGAGCTCCTTGAAGGTGACATTTTCTTCTTCATGCATTTGAAGCACCCAGAAGCACTAAAATTCAAAGGTTTATATTTTTAGCAGTGGTGAACATGAGAAATAATTTCTTCTGAAGAGATGAAATAAAATTTAGTGTTTCTGGAATCTTGCCAGTGAGTACTTGTGGGAATTAAGGAAAGCATTATGTAAACCCGAGATTCCAAAAGGTAACCCATGAAGCTGTACTTCGTTGAATATGTGCTATGAAGGGGTGCTTGAGAACATCACATTGAATCGTAACTGCCATGTGGGTAGCTATAGTCCGAACATTTTCAGCATAAGAAATTGAGATATGAGATTTTCTCTTTATTTAGACAAACACTAAGTGAAGGATTGGGATTTCAAATTTGGTTTTGATGACTCCCAGGGTTATTTAGTATTTTACATAGAGCAGTTCCCCATCCATGGGTAATTTACTTTTCCAAATTCTCAGATGTCACATCTTAATGAATTACTTGTCCTTTAGATTATTTTTTGTTCATTCATATTGCTAATACACAGTTACTATAAATAGAATAAAAAGGGGAGAGAAATAGCGATAATACAAATTATGATCTCTGTGAATGTTCTTACATTTCTTCCTTTTACAAAAGGAGTATGTTTAAAGATTGTTGGTCAAATGAATAAATGAATCAATTTGTTACACTAATTTGAACAAAGTTTCTACTTTTACAAGGGGGTGATCTATGGTGTTCCATCATTAGAAAGGTATATATGTATGAATTCAAAATGTTGAAGTTATATTTCCTTCTCAGAGAATGGGTTGTGGGCTATTATATTGCAATAATACTTTCATTCCCCTCTTTCTTTGTCCATCCTTTTTTTCCCCATGAGTATTTTTTTGATCAGATCCACTTAAAAAGGAATTTTTCATTGGTAAGAATGCAGTGTTTATTTGATCAAAAGTATTAGTTTGAAACCACAGGTTCTCCTCCCTGGAGAACTGGGTCTGTTTCATTAAAGCGCCTGCCTGCTGTGTAGCTTTATTGGTCTTACAATGCGAATTTAGTTCAGAAAGTAGGTGGAATCCTGATATTGTTGTCTGTGGAAAGAGCATACAGTTTTTATGAGATATTACAAAATTCTAAGATGTTTGGAAATACTTGTTTCTAGAATCAATAGGCAAACCTTTATTTCAAAGGTTTGCTCTGTTCTGTTCTCTTTCCCTTCTGCATCTACCTCCCTGTTAGAATCTGTTACACTGAAACCTCCCTGGTAGTCACCCAAGGCAGAAAGGAATACCTGACCTCATTTGCATGGCAGGTGACACTGTTACTCTCGTCAGGTAAAACTGGCTGGGAACTTCCCAGCTTGACCTTAATGCAAGTGCTTATGTTGCAAGGTCAGCAAGAGAAATAAAATGTGGGTCTTTCTCTGTCCCCTTCAGACCTATAATTAGTAGAAAAACTCAATTTGTAACTTTGGGCGGGATGGGGTGGTTCCATGTAACTATCGGGTTGCGGTAGGAAGCATGTCTATTCCTCTGTTTCACTCACAATTCAACCACACATGCTTTCATCTAAATAAAAAAGAGCTTTGCTCACTGTTACTATTACTTGTTAAACTACTTTACTGTGTATATGAATGAATGATTTGACTTACCCCAGCATATTCTTTATTATATATCTAGGGCAGTTGCCACAGCCTATTGTGTCTTGTAAAATTCCTCTAAAAGTTATATTTATTTTACATATCTATGGATATTTAGAATGATATTATAATGAGCTTGTAAGTATGCTTTCAAATACCCTCTGCATAACAATCCTCAAGTACAGAAGCGTTTTTACAATTGTTATTTTTCAGGGCACATTATGAATTGTATTTTAATATTATATGGATAAAAAATTAATTCTTTATTAATGATACCTATAGATGTGTCATAGGTATTAACTGAGGCTGCCCCTAGATTATCTATGATGCTTTCAAAGACTTAGTTTACGCTCTTGCATTCCCTCATTTATCCGATAAACACTTACTGAGTGTCTGTCATAGGCATTTTTAATATGATGCAGATACAACAGTGAATAAAATAGGTAAAACTGTTTTCCTGGGATTTACTTCCTATTCATTGGAGACAAGAATTCCATAACATGTATAGTTTATTGGATGGAGACAGGCACCATTAAAAATAAACCTAGAACAGAATGATGACAAATATGTGTGGCAGATAGGAAAGGATCTGAGTTTTTTAGATGGTCACTCGTAGAAAGCTTTATAGGGAAGACTTTTGAACACTGAACTCAAGGAAACAAAGGAGCTGAGTTCAGTATATATCATGGTACAAGGACGGTAGGCAGAGGAAACAAAGTGCCTAGAATTTGAGCTGTGAGATGTCCTAATGTATTTGAGTGAATAACAGGGTGAGAAATTGGTGCCACCATACAGATGAGATAGGTGGACGGCAAATTATGCAGAAGCAGCATTTTAAAAAATTCTAGTATTTATTTGTTTTAAAACTTATAGGTACATTTTAGATTTATGTAATGTATTCATCATGGGGAATTTGTATCTATATACAATACATCTTGATTCTTTTTCCCCCAAATTCCATCACCTCCTAGTCTATTGTGATCAGAGACATTACACAATCAATCTGACTTACGTTATGAAGGTCATTCTTACAACTATGTTGAGAATATATTGCAAGGCAGTGGTAGCCAGTGAGAGGGAAATTTTCTCTCTCGTGGGTAATTGGCCATATCTGGAGACATTTCTGTTTGTCATAATTTGGGGTGGTAAGGTAGAGCGTGTGCTACAGGCATTACTGAGTGGAGGCTGGGGAACTGCTAAACACCCTGCACCTCACAGGATAGGCTATCATAGGAGTGATTAATAGCCTAAATTGTCAATAATGCCAAGGTTGAGAGACATGATATAGGGGAAAGAGTGCAGGGTAAACTCGGTAAAAAGCTATGGCAAAATTTAAGCGAAGTATGTTGACTGCTTTTTGAACCAAGATATTAGCACTGAAATAGAAGTACTCCAAGTCTGGATACATATTGAAAATTGATACTGCAGAAGTTATTAATGAACAGGATAGTTGACACAAGCAAAAAAGAGGCACCATGGGTGGTAATCAAGTTAGATGAGGACTGTGAATTAACCTATCACTGTTGGTAACAGTATGAAGTCATTAATGATGTTTACATGAGTGTTCAAGAGCAAATGAGGAGGGACAGGGCAGGGAGAGAAGGAGACAAACAAGGACCAGAAACAGTGACATGAACCACAGTGACATTTCTGACACTTTCCAGCAGGAGAGGGTTCTGAGCATAGAAGAGGGAGACAGGCATATCTCCAATAAGACTTACCTCTGGGAAAGAGTTCCTTCTGCTGAAGTGACAACATTCTCTTCTCAGAGTTTGTCCCTGTCCCAAACATGTGAAGAAGGTGTGGGATTAACTTTTCTTTAGTTTGCATTAGGAAGTTAAAATTTGAAATAAGCAAAGTATAGGAAAATTCTTCAGCAGTCAATTTTACTGAAACTTTAGAAGGGGTGTGGGTCTATGTAAATATTAGAATGCTACTCTGCAAAATGAAGTAAAACACTTACAGTTTAATATTGGATTATCCTTTTCTGAAAAGTCCTTTTGTCCTTTGCCATAAACTCTTCAATGTCTTTCCTCTTCTTCCATTTATGTTCTTCACATTCCTAAAGCTAAATAGTTTTAACTTGCTCTATCTAGCCTCATCTCATGCTAACTCATCTCTAAGGATTTGCATTTTCATCCCAAATAGTTTATCAGAAGAGTTCCCAAAGAAGAGTTCTGATGCCTGTTGGTAGGATAATTTATTTTCCTTTTTACACAAGACATTTCTTTATTATTGTTAATCCTATATAAGCAACCAGTGTACAATCTGTGAAGATTTGATTTCAAATTTCTAAATTAGGTAATTAAAAGTAGTATTTGTAGGAGATTTGTAGAGGTTTTCTATTTCTTTGGTGTTAAGTTGTTTGACTCTATACCAGAGTATAGAGTCTACTTGGTATAATAGAATAAGCCTTTCTTATTCTGTGAAATATTTTCATGAGCATCATTAAAGGCATGGAGAATTGCTTTAAAATGAAGTTGTAGACCTACAGAGAATTATGTCCTTCCTCTTATCTTTCAAACATATTGACAACAGCCCTGACAAATGTGTTTGTATTTACAAAATGTGAGTTACACTTAAGGGGTTTGTGCATTACAACCCATTTTAATCTTTCTCCTAGACTTTTGAGGTAGTACATATTATTTTCAAATTTTTCCAGACAAGACATTTAGACATTTAGACACTCAATGATAACTAGTACGCATAGTTCACATTGCAGGAGTTAGTGGATTTAGAAGTCAAACTAAATTTTAATTCTGATTATATTCAGAATCTTGGGATTCTGCTAAAACAGATTCCAATAATGAGAATCTAGTGATTTTAAATGTGAATCACCGTAGTAAATTAGAGAGCCTCAATATTAGAGGAACAAGGTAATAGCTGGTTTTGTTAATATCTTGAAGATCCTAAAATAATATACTTTATTTGTAGAAAATTTGAAAACTTAAAAAAAAAGCATGAAGAAGCATAAATCTTGTAACTCAGAATTTTATCAACCAGAAGATACATCTAGGTATTGCAAATGTGTTTTCATTATAGATGTTTTATAGTTAATTGGGTGGCAGATAAAATGATAAAATATTTTGTTACTGTATTTAGATTTCAATTAATTATCACAGATAGCTTTCAGTCTCCTTTTGCTGATACTCTGTAATTTGTAAATCAATGTTTTGTGAAAGACTGTGCTTGATTGCTTCTCTTCAAGACACCTTGCTTTTACAGAGCTTTAATGAAAAATTCATTACCTACCTGGCACCAGGGCTATGATTGTGGAGGGAACACAGGTGTTCTGTAATAAGAATTTCTGCCCTCAAGGAGACTGTTGTTTTGTTAAAAAAA